ATCAAACGGTGTCTGGGGCACTTTGCCTGGCGTGTGTTGGTTGATGTGTATGTGCGGGACGACTATTCTATGGAGTAGATTAAGGCCAACCTCCGATTTTCACTCTTCTATTTTCTCTCTGTGATGCTTCTACGAGGTGCTTTTCACTCATCAAGGTTCAGACTTCTGCACTTTCTTCCCATTCTAGATTGGGTATCCACCTCAAATAGATCTGGAGTTTGTTGAATCCAGAATAGTTCTCGAGTGTGTTGGCATCCTGGGGTACACCTTGGAGTTGGATTGGAGTCCGATGTTAACTACTAACTTGCGGTATTTGGGCACCTCTAACTATAAACTTGCAGTATCTTAAAGGCATCACTTTGGTAAGAACCCCGATAGGAGGAAAGTGCGAGGGCAACGTCGGTTTGTAGATGAGTATTGGGCATTCGTCTCGATCTTCGTGGACTTAGACTTCATACCTCCGCATAACCCTAGATTTGGATTTGTAAAGATTTCTTCTGCTATCTTGTAGAATTTTTGAGAGAATTGAAACTTTGGACTATGGAAAATCACTGTTTAATGAATAGTCAGTCGGATTAGCCATTATAGGTCTTTGATTTTGCTTCTAATCACTACTTGATCATGAGACTTTAAAAGGCTGTGGACGAAGAAAATGAAAGGCTATTTCGGGATTCGACGAGCATGTAAGAATCAAAAATTGATTCGATCTTGAATTGGTGACCTAAGGAGGTTGCAAATTGGTTAGGCAAAGATCTATATCTAGACCGCACGAATCTATATCTAGAATTTATGTGTTTGGTTAATGACATATGCAAAGCGAATATGATTGTCGTGGAAATTTTACGATCAAAAGTCGATTCCCATAAACGGCACCATTGTTCCATTTGGGAACCATAAATGAAAGATATTACTTCATGAAGGAACCAAAAATGAAGAGAGATATTTAATTATGGTTTTAAATGGTGGCTCTAATCTCATTTACGTTGACGTGGGGTGGTCCTGCATGGGCATTTGGTCGATCTAGAATAAGATTTATCTCACGTAGGGGTGAGAAGCTTTGTGTATGTGATTTTTTGTATCAGAATGAGATTGTTCTTCTCAACTTCAATGTTGAGGTATTTATAGTTGTTCTAGGTATGACTTCTATGCCATTTGGGAATAGCAATTACCACTGAGAAAATACATGTGTGGAAGGTTAATCCTCTGAAATTTCGAAGAACATGGTCAAATGACCCCTTTCGTACTATTGCAAAATAAAGATACAAAATTTACCCATTATCTATATCGGGAAACCATTCCTAGAGGGAGGCGGCATATTCATTTAAAGATTGGCATGTCAAGTAAACCTGGGCCCTAACTAGAAAAGAGGCGACCAAGAATAAGCAATGGACTCAACTAAAGTCTCTGGTTTCTGCCTTACCCCTCGTGTGCCCATTTCTTATATAAAAAACCACAGTCCCTCAAGCACGAGGGCTTGTAAATTTTGAAGTGGTTTACTTTCTCTTCCTTCATTTGGACGCCCTTGAGGGGATCTTAAATGGAGTACTTTAAATAGGGCTTAAGATGATTTTCTCTTACGACACTCTAGTCGAGTCCCTTAAGAAATACTTTAGTCATGTCCCCCAAGAGAGAATTTAGGTAGTTCTTCAAGCGAGACTTTAGTCGAGTCCTATACGTGAGACTTTAGTTGAGTCCATTAAGAGATACTTTAGTCGAGTCCCTCAAGAAAGACTTTAGTTAAGACCCCCAAGCGAGATTTTAGTCGAGACCCTCGTGAGAGACTTTAGTCAAGTCCCCTTAAAGATACTTTAGTCAAGTCCCTCAGGCGAGACTTTAGTCGAGTACCTCAGGCAAGACTTTAGTCAAGTCACTCAAGGGAGAGTTTAGTCGAGTCCCCCAAGAAAGACTTTATTTTAGTCCCTCATTCGAGACTTTATTTGAGTATGCTATGTGAGTCTTTAGTCGAGTCCCTCGGGCGAGACTTTAGTCGAGTCCCTCGGGAAAGAATTTAGTCGAGTCCCTCGGACAAGACTTTAGTTGACATGTCTTATGGAGACGACATTTATGCTACGTCTTTCTAAGGAAGCAAGGATCTTCCAATAGAAGTCCATCATTTATATTTCACTATTAAGGTGGCAAAAATCTTCTAGTGGAAGTATGATAATTATATTTCTCTTATAGGGCGGCAAGAATCTTCTAGGGGAAGTTCATGGTTTATATTTCCCTTTCTAAAGGTGGCAAGGATCTTCTAGTCGAAGTTCATCATTTATATTTCTATTTTTAAGACAACAATGACCTTCCTGGGAAATTTCATTATTTATATTGACCTTTTTAAAGGCGAAAAGGATCTTCTAGCAGAAAACCAACATTTGTCTTCCAGCGAAAAACCTATTGCAAATGATTAAAAAATTTTAAAGTGATTCATACATTGATAGGTGACTCGCCTTTCTAACAATCAACTATCATAATATCTTAGACTTATTGAATTCCGAATACTAGGAATGAGTCGTTCATCTAACTGCTCGATCTTGTAGGCTCCATAAGGTAGCTTTTGATAGATGTGATATGGTCTTTCCCAGTTGGTTTGTAGTGTTCCATACTAGAAGGGAACAACGACATGTCTCAACACCAGGTCGCCCTCATGCATTTCCCTTTGAACCACTTTGGAGTTATATTTATGGTCGCCCTTTGCTTGGCGATGAATTCTCGAATGTGGGTATCATATCTTGTCTCATCAACCATATTGGAGATGCATCTTAACTCTGCCACATTCTCCTCTACATTAAACTGAAAGCGTCACCAAGGATGCATGTCAATTTTAATAGGAAATACAGTGTCTTCCTCATATAGTAGACTGAAGGGAGTCTTTTTTGTAGTTGAATGAATATTGGTGTGATATGACCATATAATTCGTGCAACTTCTCTTTCCATAGTCCTTTGGTTTCATTCAGCTTCTTCTTGATCCCTTTCAGGGATCGTCCACGAATACGACTTCCACAAACCCCTTAATTTAGGCCAATTTCTTGGTGAACGCAATATTATCTTTCATTAAGGTAGGCCAATAATATCCCTCCATTGATAACTTAAGGTCAGAGCTCGTCATCGGGGACTAAAGTGGTTTCATGCTCTCTTAAGAACCTTAAAATTGGAAAGGCTCTTCCTATTTTGTAGATCCTTCCTTCCATTGAAATGTACTTTGATGTGTGCTTGTGGATTTTCATCACCTCTAATTCATCTTGTGCTAATTCCTATGATTGTATATAGTTTATTATGGGTGTAATCCAACTAGCTCACTAGGTAACTTTGACAGTGTTGGTCTCAGACGCCAAGATACTAGGTATGGTGAGCATCTCCTGAATTACGATGTGGTTGTACCCCCGTTCTCTTCAAGCTTTATAGATTAGATTGGAGATCAACCCTAAAATTATACTCCTTGGGAACATGCACCATCTCGAATGTTTTGAAACACTTAGACAAATAACGTACCTTTTTTACATACCTCATGATTTGGGGCTCCTTTGTCTGATATTCCCTATAGCTTGTTTTTCTATCAGTTGGGAATACCTATTGGCTTTTAGAGTTCATGTGTCTACCTCTAGGCCGAGGGCCATGTTGAAGATGAGAGATTCATATTCAGCTTAGTTGTTGCTAGATTTGTACTTAAATTTTAGTGACTACTGATTCAACAAATTTTCTAGTCCTTCTAACATTATACATGTTTCTCTTCCCTTCACGTTAGAGGTGTCATCTACTAAGAGTGTCCGGGTGGACGGAATCTCCTCGCCCGTTAGCAAACTGAACCCTGCTATAAAATCTTCCAGTACTTGTGATTTGATGCTTCCTTTGGGTATGTATTGGATGTAATACTCAGATAACTCAACAATTCAAGACACTATTTTCTTGTTATATCTAGTTTCTTGAATACATGGCGAATGGAATAGTTTGTCTTCACCATTGTATATGAGGCCTAATCTTTCTTGCGGTTACCACTAATATGAGCCTTTCAATATTATAAAACCAAGTTTCAATGCCCTTGAACACTTTGCTCACGAAATACACAAGTCGTTCCACTCTATATGTCTTCTAGACGAGTACTGAAGTCATCGCCTGGTCAATAATAAACAAAAAAAGGTACACGACCGAACCTATTGGCAAGTGTTTCATGATGGACACTGGCACTAGAAATGCATTTAAGTTTGAGAATGCCTCCTTGCATTCGCTCGTCCATTCAAACGTCTCATTTTTCTTTAGCATGGAAAAGAAGTGGAAAGCCTTGTCAACTACACAAGAAAGAAAACAAGATAGGGCGGCTAGACACCTAGTTAGTTGTTGAACCTCCTTAACGTTAATGAGACTTCTTATATCAATGATGGCTTAGCAGGATAGCATTTTAATGGGAGAAGGTAACTACCATGAGATACTTCACTACAATGGTCTTAGCGCTCCCTCTGGGTGGATCGTTGTTTTAAGTGTTATGTAACCTTTTACCTGTATCTATAATGCTCCAATGCTTTTGGAGTCGACTTGAAACCTCTCAAAGGTGCTCCAGGACAATACGTTTGTTAAACTATCAAGGTCGATGAATATTCAATTCACATCCGAATTAAACTTTCTTCTTCTACAATGAATTAAACTTTCTTTCTCAACGATGATAATTCTCTCGAATTCAAGATATTGAACCAACATTCTAATAACCTCTCTCTCAACCTAATTGAATCCATATCAAATATAGGAAAATAAAATAAACTAGTAAATAGAGAAAAGTTCAATATAACCACAGTAAAGTAAAAATATAAAAATTAAATACCTGAATACTAGTTAATATTAATTGTAACTTAAATAGAAGGGACACATGAGTTAATTGTACACAATTTTTCATACATCATATAAAATGGACATGAACTAATTGTAACAACAGATCCACCCATATGAAAGAAGTAAATTTCATTTATAAAAAATTAAAGCCAATGTAACTAATCTCTATTGACTTGAAACTTCCCCTACTTCTCCATTATTGATAAGATCTTCTCATTTAGAATATCTGATTCTAATCTCCTTGTTTTATCCACCTGATAATGCAAATTATAGAAGACTCTCCCTTCAAATGTCTGAGAGGAAGAAACATTTAGAAGCAGAAATCCATCATTTTCTAAATAGAGCAAGGTCTCAGATAGTGGCACCATGTGGACAGTAGTGTAACATGAAATCTGAATACTAACTTCACTATCATTGAGCCTACAACTTGAAACCACAAAACCAGAATAGTAACTATGCTTCTTCATTTGAGTTTCTTTGCTTATCGGTGAAAGATTGAATAAGATCTCTTCCTTTCTCTTGATCAGTCCTTCCACATGTTCCTGTAACTCTGGTATATATTTCAAGACTCTTGATATTGTTAATGGAATGCTCAACTTCTTCTGCAACATAGGAAATCAATACTGTTAATAATAATTAGGGTTTCCAAAGAGAGAGGAAATGAAGTAAGTACCATTTGATCTGACAAAGGAAGAAGTGAACGAAGTGAGGAATACAAATTATTTATCTTTTTGCGGCGATGGCGTTCACTAGCATTATGAACAAGCTTCTTCACCATGCTAAGGTCGCTACTTGTAGCCTGTGATGGATCAGTTGAATTAGTTTTGGGTTCAAGTTGATGATGAAAGTGAAATGATTGATGAGTAGTGTCTTTGAAGAGTTGATTTTGATGATGGTTTTGGCTTATGTGGTCTTCAAAGGGCCATGATCCTATTGATGAAAACAAATGAGGTGAGATTGCTAACATATTGTTGATGGAGTAGTTGAAATTGAAAACACTTGATTATGAAGTTTCCTATGAAAACACACACACATATATATATATATATATATATATATATATATATATATATATATATATATATATATATATATATATATATATGCATCCCTTATGTAAGCATCTTATAGTTATATATATGCATCCCTTATGTAAGCATCTTATAGTTTAATGTTTCAAAATTTTAAAGTTAAATATATTTGTTGTTCCAATGAAATAAAAAAGAGACTTTTAACTTCTACTTTTAATGTTTTTGAAAGTGGTCCTATAATTTGTTGAATATGCGAAGCCATTAAATTATTGTTGAGTTGAGAATAAATTAGGTGCGCATGGAAGCTTATGTGTGCAATGTGATATTATGTTCTTTTATGTGTAAGAAGGAGGTGACATGGATAAACAACGTGGATGAAAACCTAAAAACATGATATTTTAGTGTTGGAGGAGAAATAAAAACTAAAGAAATAAACGGATAGCATGCAGCCATCTTGAACATTTACATTTTAATTTTTTGAGTTTTTAAGAAAGATGAGAGAAGAAGAAGAGAGAAAAAACAGTGAGAATGAGAGAAAAATTATATTTCAAATTTGTGAATAAAGGTTGAATTCTACCAATAATGATACAAACTATGATTATTTATATACAATCCTAATTGGGATTGGGCTTATATAATTTAAATTATATTTAAATATTAAATCTAATATTTCAATATATCCTCATTATCCAAGTTGTTGAACATACGCTAATCATAGTCGATCTGAACTATTCTTAATTTCTTTCTTAAATTTAGGAATTTGTCGATCTTCAATCCTTTGGTGAAAATGTCGGCTAACTTTGCTTCACTTGAGCAATGCCTAACTTCAAGTTCACCTCGATTTATCTTTTTCCTCAAAAAGTGAAATCTAGCTTCGATATGCTTACTTCTTCCATGCAAAACTGGATTCTTCGCCAGATTTATGACAGACTTGTTCTCGATTTGCAACACAATATGTTTCTTCACTTCTACCTCCATTTCTTCAAGTACCGATCTGATAATCTTCAAAGCCTTATTATAGTTGATAGGTTCAGCACCTGCAAGTAAAGTAAAATGAACTAATTCTCAATCTGGCGTGACTTTATCATCACCAACCACTTCATAATCATGAAGTCTTGCTGGAATAACTCTAGTTCATTGAGGTCTTTGGCTTGTGCTACCCACATACTCTTCAACTTCGACATTGTCGGGAATGTCAGCGAGTGCTTCGACCTTGACTAGAATATTTGCAATTTCTTCGACTTCAACTTCATTAGTTTCTTCGTCGAAATAATAGCTCAATAATGGCTTGTTAATTGCATCATTAGAATTCCAACCCCAGGCAGAATTCTCATCAATCACAATGTCTTGACTTATCACGATCTTCTTATTGATTGGATTGAATAGCCTGTATGCACCAGTTTTATGATATCCTACCAGAATCATATGTTCACTCTTGTCATCAAGCTACCTTCTTCTTGCATCAAGAACATGTTTGTAACACATAGAGCCAAATACCTTCAGATGACTCACTGATGGTCGTTTTACGCTCCACACTTCTTCAGGAACCTTGTTCTTCAATACCTTTGTAGGGCACCTGTTCAGAATATAAACTGCAGTTGAAATGGCTTCACCCCATAAAGTTCTTGGCAAATTCTTCTGCTTTAGCATGCGTATAAGGAGCAGTTACCTCATGATCAACACCATGTTCTGCACATAAATCTTCAAACATCTTGGATGTGTATTCACCATCTCCATCTGTTCGTAGAACTTTGATCCTCTTCCCACTCTGGTTTTTGACAAGTGTTGTACCCCAAAATTTACCCTCCTATTTTCTGCAAGATACCTTCTCATGCTCCTAGGGTTTTCAATTGCTTAAGGCTACTCAGTATTTGATCAAACAAATTCTCCTCCTAAGCAATGGCCTACAATTAGGGTTTTGGTTTTATGAGAGGATATTGGACTTCTAATTCCCCAGGTGGATTTCATGGTTTTTCATATGCTTCAAAGAATCCTCATATCAAATTTGCTCAGTCAAATACTCAGATGACTGAAAATTAACTATGTTGAAGAAAAAGTCAACTGTGGTCAACATACAGTCAAACTTCAAGATTTTTGGTACACATCAAGATTTTGAAGTCACATTCTTCATTTGGTCAAGGTTTGATCATGATTCATCAAGAAAAACTCCCAACTCATCAAAAGTCAAAAGTTACCAAATTAGGGTTTTCTTAAGGAGAAGGCAACTGAACTTTGACCAAGCACAACGTTCATATGCTTCATCATATTTTCCTCAACCAAAGAAATTCTTGAAGTAAATTTAATTCTATACAACTTTGTCTCTCTAAGCTGAAGTCCAAAAAATGCTTCATTTGAGAGATATGGGCCAATACACTATAGGTCATTTCAAAAGTCAACAAAAAGACACTTTTTTTCAAGGTAAATTACATCAAGATAAATTCTTCAAATGAAAATATAATAAACATATATATTGTAGAGGATATCTTGAGCTTTCTAAAAAGTCAAAGATCACCTTCAAATTATGAAAATTGAGAGAGTTATGATTGGTGAAAGTTTGGAAATTTTGAACAAATGTATGAAATCAAAAATGATCAAACTTGTAATTTTGGGCTATTGGACTTGTTTTTCAAGGTACATGCGTGTTATAGGTCATAATATGAACCTATTAACTTATTCATACACCCCTTGGGTTTTTATTTTATTTATTTTTTATTTTTTATTTATTTAAAAGCCAAAATAAATGAAATAAAACAAAAGCTTTCTTACTAAGGTCCAAGCCCAATATGTTTGACCTAATTTCAAGAATTATATATCTTCTTCATTCAGACAAGAGCAGCCACACATGAAACCCTTGCAACAAGAAGCTATTCCAAAACTTCCAAAATTCTCAAAAACTATGGCAAGTTGTAAACCCTATTTGCAGCCACTTTCACAACAAACGAGTCGTTACATTCACTTCCAGAAGCCCTATAGGGTAAGGTTGGATCATTCGTGATGATTCAAAGAGCATAAAACCAGCATACTTGGCTTGTCGTTTCTTGATTTTTTGCAAATTTGAATTCTTTTTTTCTTTATGTTTTAATGTATAATAATCTCACTAACATGTTTTTGAGACAAAACCACGCATGGTAGACCTATTGCATGACCCCCATGATGATCAAACTATGCTTGGCCATGTTTATGCCGTTTTAGGTTGTTTGCTCTGTATCTCCATATACAAAGAGATTTAGCCAAAAATAATGGTTCCATTGAAATCGCAATGCCCAAATTAGGGGGATAGGATACCACTGAACCTCTAATGTTTGCTATTTTACAGGGATAAGGAACGAGCTCACCGGGAAGACGACCGGAGCTAGGGCTCTGGCGCTTCTCCGGTCCAGTAATTTGGTTTCATTATATAATTATTTCATTTCAATAATATAAATGGATGTATAGCCACCCCAATGGTAGAAGCGCGCGCGATAAGGCTTTGATGTACAAGGGCGTGGGTTCGATCCCTGCCTTTTGAGGTTTTTTCATATTTTCTGACTTTTGCAGATCACACGCAACACTTGTCTTCCTCATACAATACACCTTCAATCTCGTAGCCCTCAGATCTAGATCTGACGCCCAGGGACACGCACGCCCACGATGCACCATCCTAGCTGCTCAAACTGGATCTAGCACTGGAAGTTGGGCCTGGACTCCATTGCTATTCACAACCTCCTTTTTTTTCTAACCTAGGCCCAATTTTTTTTTTAACTTTCATTTTTATTTTTACTTATTTTTATTTTTTGTTTTAGGTTTATTTTATTAATTGAAATTAATTAGGATTTAGTTTTCAATTAACCGTTTAATAATTAAATTAATTTTTTTTCTTAATTAAAATTAATTAGATTTAATAGGTTTTGATTAATTAACCATAAATCATTTTTTCGATAAAAAAAATTTCCAAAAAAATTTTCTTTTCCGTTTTTATTTGATTTTACATTTTTAGATCGACTGCATAGGTTGCGCAATTGTAATCTTTATTTGTCTCTTTCTTTTGTTTTATTATTATGTATCTGCCCTAAAGCGATGTAATAGTTTAAGTTTATATTTGTTGCCTTTACTTTCCGCACCTTTATTGTTTTCTATATTTGCTACCACTGCTTAGTAGCTAGGGTTTGTATGGCAAGACTAAAAACAAACGATAGAAAACCCTAACCGCTAAGATAAAATAACTGAATTGAATACATTTGTACACTTGCACCTCAAGGGTAACCTCCCTTGTTGCCTTCTGAATAAAAACAGTCATGTCCCTCGAAAGTGAGGGCGCTTTAGCAAAGTTCCTCGAATCAAAGATCATAGTCTCTCGATGACCCTTTCGATGTTTCCTTTTGGTACATAATCTAGTCCCTTACGAAAATTGCTAAAGCTCCCTTACCAGTGGCCTTCAATGACTGTACGGCGACCCTACGTCTGTCCCTTAACATCCATCGATAGGGCTTCCTACTAACTAATGGTATGGATAGCTGTAATACGGTGGAAGAACTGACTTTAGGATTTTACGTTTTATTGCAAATGTTGGGGATAGCAAGAGTCGCCACCGAATTTTCTTTTATCCAATAAAGGAAAGGGTGAAAAGAACAAAAAAGTCCTTTCGAGAATTTTATGAGTAAGGGGTGTAGGTTATGAAAAGGGAAGGTGTTAGTACCCTTTTCATCCTTAGTTATCTACGGGCTCTTAATCGCTAGCTCACTTTTGGAATTGCTTTGTGCTTGTGTATGTTTTGAAAATATTTTGAAAATGCCTAAGTGCGGCAATTTTGTAATGATTCTCGTATCGTTGAGAATGTATATATAATGTTCGTTTTGAAAATATTTTGAAAGAAGGTGTTGTTTTATGAAAAGATGTTTTGTTTTGAAAAGTTTGTGAGCAAGCGACTACGAGTGTTCTACCTAGTCAAAAAAGTCTT